TGTACCGTAACACCTGCATTTAATCATCTCTGCTTCAACGCTGAGCCTGTACAAAAACATGCTACACAACACTTCTAATATAGGTCTGAGAAAATAATAAAGTATGAACAGAATAACAAAGAATCATTTTTTTTTAGCAAACCCAGAATCGATGACAGCTGGCCGTTACTGTCACTTGTCTTGTTTTCCTGTTTCTTTTGTCTGGAGACAGTTTTGGTTGGAAGTCTTGAGGTTTTTTGGGACCACAACAAACTTTGTATGAAGCCTGAGGCTCGGCAGATGCTTGTGTCAAATCTTAACTCTTGGTGACAATCACTGGAATTCAGCGCTGTTGAAAAATGGAACCTTCTGCTTGTGTCTGGTGTCTCTAACCACTAGCTGCAGGAACAGCTGCTCAGGCCTTCATCACCTTTCATCACAGCTGGTTTCAGACAAAGGTCGTGTGAGGTAAGCAACCTCGCTCAAGTCCTCCAGACCTCTGCCACTCATCCCGATGAATGGTTACTGCAGAATTTGATCTTTTGTTTGGCCTTTATTAACTGTCTTAGCTGGTGACCTTAAGGTAATCTAGTGTAATAGCTGTATTCTTTTCACTAATGAATGACACATTTGAAACAGTTCTAACCAATTCCAGCTCGGAAAAAAGTACAGGCCAAGAAACGGTGTCTTCCAGCCAGTAAAATCAGAGAGGGCTTTAAGGCACTCTTCCATTTGTTGACTCTTCAATAACTGGATCTGATTAGCTTATACGATAGCTACACGCTTGAGCTGTGAGCTTCATCTGCCTTTCTTCTGCAGCTTATTGGAATTTTACAATCTCCTCTGGCATGCTTGAATTTGGAACAGTTTAAACCAAAATATGAAAGTATGTTTCCCCCTCTTGCACTCTTTTTACCCTTCTTGAGTGACCTCCTCTTGGTCTTCTATCTCCTCTTTTCTCCTTCGTAAATGCCATATTACTCCTTTGGTGATGTTTTTCTGAATGAGTGAAATTCCCCCACCCACTTTCCCTTTGAAATAGGATGCACACTTGGGATTCTTCACAGAGGTGACAGGAGTTTTTTTTTTAGGTGCTCTTAATTTAAACTGGGGCCTTTTTGGTGATTGCACACATACACACAAGCACACACACTATCTCCCTACATCTCCACGACTGTCCACCTTTGTTCCTTTCATCAGTGAATCACAATCAGAAAGACGGAGAGGCTTTTCTGTGCGTGCACCCTGCCTCACCTCAGCCGAGATAACATCCCTCGACCTCCCTCTTCCCTCAGATTTCATCATCGCTCAACAAATCTAATTTCTAATTCTTTTCATCCTCTCTTTATCTCAAAACTTTGCTTTAATCAGCACTATATCTGGTTTCCCTTGAACTTGGGAAGAAGCAACTAATACTTCTATAAAGCATTAGATCAGCCGTGGCTATTTTGGGACACAAATTCATAGTCTTGTCTTCCAAAATGACATTAAGCTCTACATTTAAGAACATGATATATTATGAAATTGTCACCTAAGGAAAAGTGGGAGGATTAGTCCCTCCACTGAATGTAATGTTTAACAGAAGTCTTTCCCTATACTGCACTTAGTTTTGGTATTTTTAACTTTCCAAATGTGTAGCAAAATTTGATGATGCTTGTGTCAAATTTGAAAAAAATAATTCCTACTTTTGAGTTCATCCTGTACTCAGGGATAGCCACCACTAGAGGTGAAGGGATACGTGGTAAAAGGATCATGAACTGAAAGAAACACATTTTGTGACTAAAAATAGTCCTTTTACTGTCCTTTTATTTCTCGAACTAAAGCAGTTCTAAAGTAGTAGTAAAAATTTTTTTTTTTTAAACCTTGACACTTACTTTTCTATCCCACGTGTGTGTTTCAGTTATTTTTGGGCCTTTTTGCCTTTATTAGATCAAGTCAACTTGGAGGAGACCCAGGTCCTGCTTTTTCAAACCCACAGCCGCTGCATGAGACGAGGACCACAGCCTCCGCACATTGGGCGCACGGCGTTCCACCTACCCCACGTGTTTTAAATGAGAAAGACTGCAGTCTTCCTCAGTCAACGGCCAGCTAGGTGTATAATGATGAATGAAAACGTACCTGCATATCACATGGAGCTGATCCAAAAAATAAATTGATATCTGCTAAAGGTGAAGCCTCGGAAACAGAAATATAGCCCCCCTTGAGAAGACAGGTCTTCGGGCCATTGCCTATATTTTAAAGGTTTAAAACTCGTCATAATTACACACATATAACCCTTATTGCCATAACCACGTAATCCTATTATGCTTAGCGTACTCGCCAGCTAGCGTTGTCCATTTCCATTATTAAACGACAATAAGTAGTTGGTCTTCGTTTTCTACAGAGAGAGGAAACATTAACTCAAGAGGACACAAATGACAAGCCTTGGATGGAAGAAAATATCTGCACTGGGAAAATCATCCCGCCATTTGTTTTTATATCTAATAGTCTACCAGACAGCACATGAAATGAACTGCATGTGTGCCTTCTCATATAAGCTGCCAAGAACTAACCCATGTCAAATCCTTACTTCAGCTTTCTTTCTCTCTCACTTCTCGTCTTTCCCCTCGTTTATTTTGGTCGGAGAAGCATCTGGGCCATCTGCTGGCACATAGTGGCAGCTCTATGGTAAGAGAGGAGCCAGTGGCACACCACCCATCATCTGTTATTAGTTCTTCAGAGAGATTTAGAGGGAGAGGAGGAGGGATGTGGGGCAGGCGAGCTGGAGTTAGTACAGTAGGGAAACAAGCGGGCGGCCAAAAACTGGAGCCAGAGGACCAGGTTCCAAAAACAAAGTGGTAGTCTGTTTTCTATACTCAGCTCTTCTTTTCCTCCTCCACTCTTTTACGCGGCTGCTGCTGCAAATCCTTTATTAAAAACTCTAGGTGCTGGTCGATTGCTGAATGAAGCAGCTTAACAACAAAAGCTCCAGAGAAAAAACTATGATTTGTGTTTTCTGTGGAATTAATTCGATGCCCCCGAGCGGCCGCCGAGTGTTGGCTGAGTTCAGAGAGATGGTTCGAGGTTACTGAGAGGTCAGCTGTACTGGGTGGGTAGTAATGCTATTTGGATAGTGCAAAACAGAGCAGTGGAAAGGTGACGGAAAACCCCTATTTGAATAAAAGATTGAGAATTGCAGAGGGAAAAACAAACACTACATGCAGCCAGATGACCCAATCCTTCAACACATTGTCCTTGGCTGCCTCAACACAGCCCTGAAATTGGAAACAAATTAGAAACAAAAATATAAAGTGTGAGGGAAACAGAGACAAGGAGAGAAAGAAGGGAGTGGAATAGGGGAGAAAACATTTACGCAAAAAAGTAATTCCATGTGGAATTTTCTTGCTTGATAATTGTCGAAAGGTCCCTTGAAAGTACAATAGAGGCCTTTGAGCAGCACGGGCTGAGTGTGAGCGTCAAAGTTGGCTCGTGTCCAGGAACCAGGTTTTCTTTTAAAGCCAAGGGGATGAAGAGAGTGACTGTTTTATGGAAGGAAAGGAGAGAAACAGACACACATGGGTGCACACACATTCTACCTCTCTTTTTCTTATCCCTGCACATGAACATTTGCAGATGCCTGGCTTGAGAGATGCACAGAAACTTGCATGCATTCTTCAGCTGCAGGCATTATTCTTATCTGACATCATCTTTGTATCCTGTCCGTCCTTTTACCTGGAGTTCCTCTAGTATACACACGGTAGCAATTAAGCCCCATCCATTTTACTCTGCGTGTTTCCTTTCTTCATGTAAGTGAATGAGAGGATAAACTTCTACAACATACCGGCATAAATTCAGCACATATGGAGGTTCAAAATGTGTGGAAGGAAAAAGAAGTTAAAGCCTATTGACCTTCAGGGGGTGCATTCTTTTCACTGGGAAGTCTACTCTCTCTCTGTCTCTCTCTGTCTCTCTCAGTAAATTGATATAACAAGGCCTGCATGACAGGAGTGGTGCTGTTTTATGTGTTTGATTTGTTCAGCTCCCAGCTATGGGCCAGTATATTTGTGTTTTTGTTGGTAGGAGTGGGCGTGTGTGCGTGCATTCTCCATCATTCCCCTACCAGCATCCTACCTATAAACACATGGGTGGGCAGCTTATTTATTGTGTGGGTTTGCAAACAATGCTCACCTATTAGGCTTGGACTAGTGAGTCATTCAGAAGGGTTAAAATTCCCTTCCAACCAGTACATGAGTGTTTTCAATCATGATCTTTATATCCACTTTGCCTCCAGCTCACTGCTGGTGAGGAAGAATTCCAAGACCTCAGAAAACACACATTTAATGGACTTGTATAAACTTTTTTGGGTGGTGGTGTGGCGTCGAATGTAGGGAAGATAATATAATATTTTTGTACAACATTCACACGTTTTTACAAGAAAATACAAAAACTATTTGATAAATTTGAATGAAGTTTTGTTTAGACGTGTGTTTCCCTTGGATAATGAAGACAAATGATTCAAATTATGCTCCACTTATCCCCTAGCACCACAATGATGTGTGTGGTTTAAAACTGTTAGAAGATGTGTCCATGATGTTTTCTATGCATATTGAAATCCTCGACGGGACACATTTTAATCATATTGGTTATTCTCTGAGCTTCTTTTGGCTCCAATATCGGCAAAAATACCTATTAATGCTACTTTTAGCCTTAGATGTAGTTTATTTTTATGTCTTCATTAAATGTTTGCATGCTTAAAAGATAAGATAGTGAATATAGGAAATGTTTTTATTTAATTTCAGCATGTTAGCAATGCTGCTATTTTAAGCTTTTTCCAATGATTATATCATCACCTGTTCCTTTGTTCCTTTCTTTTTTCTTTCTTGGAACACCCCCCGTGATCTCTCAACTCCCCTTGTTGAAAAGAGAGGGAAGTAAACGACAATCATAATCCCTCAACCCCCCTTCCCTGTCAATCTAATCCCTGATTTTACAAAAAAAGGTAGATACTTCAGAGGACTTCAAAGACAACTCAACTTGGTCCATTTCAGTTTTGGATATTCATTTAATGATAATATCACTTTTCCATTTGTACAGATACTTTCACAGAATAAAAAAAACATGGAATATAGACAAAAAGCTTCCCAAAATAAACAGGGAAATATTAACAATCACACTGAAAAAGAACGTTTGGTCATTTTCAATGTATTCTATTTTACAAACACATATTCCAGTTGCATTGCTTGATTTTTTTTTTTTTTAATTATCGTAGGTACTCAAGGCATTCTGTTAGCATGAAACTGTTATTTATTTGCAGGGAATACTGCAGGCAGGTATCTTCACAGACTTTCACAGATGAGTCTTTGGTGTGTTTATCTGTAAGTAGAGTTGTTTGGGGCTTTATGTACTCATTGACATGTGGGCACTGTGGGGGGGGTAACTGATAGTAACTTGACGTCTGCAGGTCTTTGCACAAGACTGAACACGTAGTCACATTATCACTGCAGTTGACAGATCTACAGGCACACACACACCCACCCACACACACTAACACTCATACTAGCACACAAAGTTACTTTGAGTCCTTCTTTGCCCCATATTCACAGATTTGGATCTCAGCACTCTGTCACTTCATAATAGCCAAAAAGATCTCCTACCAGGCTTAAAATGGTCCGCTTAACAATATTAAATAAAGTTTCCTGCACAAACCTTTCCACAGTCCAGTTAGGCTCATGTGAGCAAAACTGGGATCCTCCATTCCATACCAAAGAGAAATTGTGTGGACAGCATTATGATGGGCATGCTATTTTTTCTTAAGGAAAAGCCAATGCACAGACCCTAATTGCTTGCTTGCTTGCTGTGGACCAGGTCATGTAGTATGTTGTAGGTAATTTCTGGGTAATGGATATAACAAATTTTCCCTTGCAGGGAATATAAATAATAAATAAAGTCACTGATGTTCTCTTTTGATATTGTGTGATCATGTGAGTGCTTATTGTAATTAAGGCACAAAACTGTCTGAAAGTACAGCACTTAAACAGAAGTTGTTCAGTCTACTGCTTCCCACTGTACCTTTTGTAATCCTGCTTACCTTCTCCCTTTGTGATGGTAAAGCAGACTGAGGGCCTCAGAATCGAGAAGGGGATTTAGTCTCGAGTTGGTCCAGACTCACATCTACTTAGACTGTCTGACATTCTGCAGGCAAAGCCCTTTGATTGACTTTGCTGGTACCAAACGAGTTTTAATCTTCAAAGATTTTAATCTGCTGTTTTGTCTGTTAGTCACAAGAAGTGGGGGGTGGAGGGTATAGAGGGCTGTTAACAATCACAATGTTGCACGATAAAAAATAACAAAGACGCAAGTATAAAAAATACATACAAAACAGAAAAAGTCACAAGTGTTTCAGAGCCAAATAAAGCAATACAAGTACAAACTATTTTCTCTGCACGACTTCATTTGGTGTCTTAAAGATCATTCACAGCAAGCACTGATCCCTTTGGGGTCGTACTGAAAACCTACAACATGCAGCAAAACATTTTTGCTGATAGTGTTTAGTTGGGCTCTTGTGATGAGAAAAAGGCAGCTCAACCCCAAATCAGTGCACACTCCTGTTGAACAGACAAAGGAGGGCTTGAGATCACTGCGTCCCTTTACCCTAGGTTTCAGCCATTGACTTGTCAGTCCCAGTATCATGTCATTGGAGCTGTGAGGTTTCCAGTCCAGCAAAGTAATTAGGGAATCCATTGATGCAGTATACATAGTGTAAATGAAAAAGAGGCACTTTCAATGCATCTTCAAGTCAAAGCACATGCTCTTAACCTTGTTTAATGTCTACTTAGACAACTGAAGGGCATTAAGTTAAATAAATGTCCAGTTTCTCATTTGCTGTTTTTTCTGGCTGATACTGTATCCTCATTTCCTGCAACATCAGTTGCTGCTCTCTGTAATTAAACAATACAGTAATCAGCGCTGAAGAAAGAAATGTCTTTTCAGCCTTGTCAAGTCCAGGTGTCAAAAGTAGGAGGGCTTGTGAGAAGACATATTGTTATTTGATGTACAGTGATCTTGTAGTAGCAAGACCTCATATTCCAGATTGCCATTCTGAACTGCAGGTTCAGGAATCATAAGTTGGGGCTGTTTTTGAGGCAGTGCACCATTGTCTAGGGTGGTTTTAACTCCATCCAACTCTAGCTGAGAGGGCTCACACTCTAGGTCCAGATGGCCTTTGGCCCTCTTTCTGCGAAGATGGCAAACCACCCCCACTGCTATTGCTATCAGCACCAGCAACGACAAGATAGCAATTGCAGGCACCAGCATTGTGGTCAACCTCTGGTCATCAAACTGGGCATCAGGACCCCTGACACTTTCTGCTACTGTTTGAGCTTCAGTGCAGACACTGTCTATTCCACTAGGGGCACCTAGTGGACTGGCACACACACTGTAAGTGGAGTTGGGCTTCAGACCTCTGAGTCTGTACTCTGGGAAGGATGCCGGCAGACTAAGTTGAATTGGCCTGCGGTCTGGACCAGAGAGGTTCCTGTAGGTGAGGCGGATTCCACGGATGTATGGTCGCAATTCAATGTAGCGATGGAGGTCCAGCAAGATTGAGGTTGTGGTTGCTTGATGTGAGCTGATGTCTGGTGCATCTACAGTGACAGTTTCCTTATGGTCTTCAACCTCAGGTGGTGAATGGGGATGATGGTTTTGTATTTCACAATACAATCCAGAAGTACCATGTGGGCAGGTACACTCAACCTGACCCTGTTGGTCCAAACGACAGGTACCCCCATTCAGACAGGTGTTAGGGGGACAGAAATACAGCTCATCATCCGTGTCCATCCTGCTGCTGCTACTGGGAGATGCAGGAACAGGAGGGAGGAGGTAGTCATCATCTTTGTCTGAGGGGCTGTCACTAGGTACTGGAATAGCTCTAGCTGTACTTTGTGAGGTGGTGACAGGATCAGGCTGAATGGTAGTTGTTTTGACAGTAGTTGTGGTCATTGTAGTTGTGGTGGGGCATCCAAAATCCCTATGCTCCAGTCTTTCCAACACCTTTCCAGCATTGATTGGTGGGAAATGGCAGCGAGTCTCCTCTGTTCTCTCAAGGGTGATGCTTTGGGCTCTAAGCCATCTTGGGAACCAGGCTAAGGTGCAGAGGCAGTTGAAAGGGTTCTCTGCAACTGTGAGCTTCCTGAGGTGGGGGAAGTGCTGGGAGAACTCTTCAGGTAGACCCTGCAGACTGAGGCTGCTAATGTCCAATTCTTGCAGCTCTACAAGGTTCTGCAGGTCTTGAACCTTAAGAGGACCCATTGGGTTCCCAGCCAGGCTGAGGTGGATCAACCCATGGGCCTCCTTTAAAACTGAGGGAAAGGATTCCAGTTGGTTTCCAGAGATGTCTAGTTCGTGTAGGTTCTGTAGGCTTTCTATAAGCTCCTTATTCAGGTCAGTTAGTCCAACACCACCCAATTTCAGTGACTCCAGGTTTGGGGTCTGTAGGTCAGATGGACCCAATGTTGGTAAGACATTAAATCGAAGGTCCAGCAGCAGCAGTCGGGGCATTGTGAGAGCAGGTAAGGATGTCAACCCGTTGCCTTGTAGTTTGAGTTCCAGCAGGTGCTCCAAGCCATTAAAAGCTGCAGGGTGTATGGACTCAATATAATTACTATACAAATAAAGGCGCTCAAGCAGTGCCATCCCATGAAAACACTTCTCTGAAATGTGGGTGATCTGGTTGGATGACAAGTCCAGGTTTCTCAATGATGCCAAAGGTTCAAATACCCTCTCTGGAAGTTCTGTCAATTTGTTTTGACTGAGGTCCAGCATTTCCAGGTTCTCCATTCCACCAAAGTCCTCCGTTTTCAAGCCCTCAATGCCATTGGCAAAGAGGTAGAGGCTTTTTGTAGACGATGGCACTCCCTCAGGAATGGTGGAAGAGCGTCTCTGGTAACATAAGATTGATTCTGGTGGGGAACAGGTGCAGCCTCTTGGACAGTCGCTGGACAAGGCGCCATCAGGAAGGATAATGAAGAGCAGAAAGGGCATCAGCGGAGTGAGAAAGACCTTCATGGTGCTGACCCTTTCTCTTTCCATGCTCGGCCTAAAACGATACAAACATACAAACTGTCAATGAACTGCATAATTATTCAATAAAAATAAACATTTAATGCTAACAAAGTGTCACACCATGAAATTTCTCAAAGATTCAGCCCGATGTTGTAGTTCTTTGTAGTTCTCTGTAAAGTCTACTTTCCAAACCACTGTTTCACTGTGAGGTTCTGTATTGTGTTTCATGGAGTGAGATTATTATCAAAGGTTCAACAATGCATAGCCAGAGATCAAAGGCAGTCTTTTGTCACAAGGTCTCTTAAACAATAGGGCTATAGTTGTGACCTCAGGCTTCAGTGGTTTTCTGCCATACTCGGGGTGTAGAGAATGTTGGCATAGTTGGGTCCTGCCACAGTTTTCCAGCTTAGGTTGTGCCATATTCTCCCTGCAGTGATCTTTGTAATAGATAGTATTATGGGATGCTAAAACTATTGTTTCCTTCTCTGGCATTGCTACAGATGTGAGTGTTTAAGTGTGCACGTGCCACACATGCATATGATATAATGTGTGTTTGTAATCAGAAAGGTTTGTATTTGTAATCTGCCCACCAACTTCCATTTACTCCACAGCTATTTACTGCACTGCACACACTCTGTGGTTTTAGGGGTTCACAGTCAACTATTTTCCTTACACTTATGACAGACTCGGCAGCCTATAATACACAGAGGCATACAGCAGCTATCAACAAATCCAACTTGTTGTGTTTTTTTGAATGATGCATCATAGTGAATGCACTGAAGATTACTTTTCTGTCTTTCATGAGCCACTAAAAGACCAAAAAATCTTTGTACACGCCTTCTGATTGATTCACCATAAACACTGCTCAAGACTCTATTCCATTTTCTTGGCTATATGTCTGCCATACTGTACATAGCCAGGCATCTGTGTATGATTTACTTTGTGGCTCTCTAAACTTGGAGATGAGCTTTACCAGTAGCCTGGAATCGTTCCCTGACTATAGATGCAATATAAATATCTAACACTTTCTCTGTTATCATTACCCAGATGGGCAGCTATAGCCACTTGCCAGAAGGCTGTCTCTAACACTGTATAAAGGATACAAAATATACAGAAATCTTTGATAGAGTAAATCGCCAGGAACATAGCATACTTTGACTTTTTCACTGGAGCCAAAGCGTTACAAAACAAACCTGTCTGAGCGTCAACACAGTACTTGAAAGGGCTTAAAAGGTGGGAAGGGTTGATGGAAAAAGGGGGAGAGGGGAGATAAAGATGAAGCTAGTTGCTGAGAAGAGTCTCTGAGGGCAAGTTATCATCCGCTGCTGTCGAGTGAAAAGGTCTTAGGGGACGAGGAAATATCTAAACATTTTTGACCATTTCTTCTCTCTTTAAAAAGCTCCTCAACTTTTCTTGCTTCTTATTTCTCCTCAACTTTGCTGAAATACCCTCCTGCCCTGCAAAAAAAACTTTGGTTTAGGTCACAGTTACACTTTACTGGCTCAGGGCCAGATTTTGGAGTAGATGATATCTCTATAACCTTGCAAGCACTTTCTGTTGGATAACTTCAATTCTTCAGGGAGCTCATTTAAGGGCCTTAAATGGTGCAGTTGTTGATGTCTTCACTGCACAAATACCTAAATGAGAAGCCAACTACGTGTGACTTGCACTTTTACACAGATGGAGCACACGCGGGGAACATTTAGTTCTTACACTGCTTACCTAGAGTTGTGGCCTTTTACACTAGAAATGCCAAGAATTTTTTATTTTCCCCATTCTTTTTTTTTTTTTTATCTTGGACCTTCCCTCTTTTCTCTATAGCTATAGTGTTTTGGGGGGTTTCTTGATACAAGTTGGAATTCATGAACTCTTCTTCTTTGCACTCTATCTGTTCAATGAAACATTTCCTTAAAAAAAAATCACTGCCGCGAATGTTAAAACTTGGAAAGTGATAAAAGGGTTTTTTAGGAAACAATAGGAGAGAGGAGGGAGAGCAAGTATCATCTCACCACGCCACAGCTATACTTTACATTTTCTTTTAGCATAAATATCATTCCGATGCCCCTTGAAATTGCAACCTCCTTGGAACCGTTCCCTGATCTCTTATTTTCCTTCTCCTGTGTATATATTGAAAGCAGTCATGGCATCTGCTTGTATCCCACTACCAGCATGTTGCTCTTTTTATACTAATAACTCTTTCAGACTTGGCAGGAATGTTATTCTGCGCTGCCAAGAGAGTGACCCTGCTCAAACCTCAAGACTTGATGGAACAAATAAGCTCACTATTTTTCATAGTCAGCATGTACAGACAGCAAAGAAAAAGTACCAAAACTTTGGTATCTAAGTGGACCTACTTAGTATTGCAGTTGTTTGCGGAAAGTAATGATAAGATCTGATTTGGATAGTTTTCCATTGGCTGCAGCTGACTGGGCAGCAGAGTGGAAACCTTGTAGTTATCCCCTCATTTACACACAGTGCCCGAGGGAATTCACTTTAACAGGTGAGTAATTACATGCACGGTATATATACGGTAAGGAATGTTCTAGTCAAGCTCTGGTTAAGTAAAGTAAAAAAAAAATCTGCAATTAATTTTGGAATGTAACTATGAAGCAATACCTGAGTTAAAAGCTCATAGGATGGACATAACTGTTTAAAATAGTTACACAGGAAAAGACATGTTTGAAGGAAGAAAGTGTGGCTGCTGTGCCATGTTATGTGTGCAGAATAAAGAGAAGACGAGAGGATTTCCAGAGGAGATAAAGGGAGATTTAAGCTACAGCCGGAGTGTGTGCAGATGATCTCAGGTTTTCCAATCATGTCTGTGTGTGGGGAGCTGCAGTTCAAATCCAGTGCAGGATACTGCATGCCTGTGTGTCACTAAGAGCGTAAACTCACATACTTTTTTTCAGGGTGCCTGTTCAGAACAAACACTACACGCACTGTAGTGTTCGACTGAGAAAAGTATCATATGTATCTAAAGATGTTTAAAACAAAATTCCAATCTCATTCCATCCGGAGATAGAGACTCTTGACTTTGGCACATATTATCATGCCCAGAGATGATTATGAGGGTTCAATGCCAGATTGTTCAACAACATCAAGGCAGCCACGAGAGGCGAGCGAGCTATGCAGATAAAACTGAAAATATTTTTCTTACGAACTCTATGTGGTGGTTCTACCGTAGCTCCCCGAGGCAGAATGTTTATTTGAGTGTGCCTCATTCCAAAGTGGGACAGGAACATCTGATAACCCAGAGGAGGAGAAACTCCGGTGGAGGTGGATGGGGAGGGATTCACTCAGTGAATACTGGCAGATCAAAGATAAACTGATGCTTCATAGTGAAAAGATTCTTTTGTTTTCTTTCATTTTGGATACGAGTGACTTGTGCAGGTCTTATCGGTGCATCTGATAAGGCACAATTGTGGCGTCACTATAATGTGAACCCACAGCATACTGTAGTGCTGGTTCCCGTCTCTGAAGCTTTAATTGAAGTATTTTGAAGTGAGTGCAGGTGGAGGGCCCAGACAGAGATACAAGAAAGACAAGCATGTCATCCAGTGCAAGAAAGAATGCCCCCTCCCCTCCTGCCTTCCTCCTTCTCTCTTGAGTTGTAATTTCCTTTTCACTCCCCTGTGCGCTTGTTGAGACATTCCTGAGACAGGCAGCAGCTGAGTTTGAAAAAAAAAAAGAGCTTGTCTGTCTCACCGGCTTGGCATTTGGAGATTAACAAGGAGTCTTTCTTGGTTATAAACAGACGATGGATTGGACTTATGACGATGCTTATAAGAATGGGAGCTAAAGCACATTTGAGACCAGATCCATTATGTAACAATTGTTCTTACATCTGTGTTTTCTTTATGGTTCGTTCTGGATTTGTGGGTTGTATTAGAATAAAACGTGTTGGTTGATGAATATGTGGAATCACCCGCGGGCGAAAAAAATATAAGGAAAACATACAATGAAATGTAATCATGGGAACAAAATTGCGCAACACCAAGAGGAAAACATGATCTGCCCCTTGAAAAGAAATATTAAAGGGGCAAAGGGAAGAAAAGCATTTTTCCCTTTTCCTCAGCTCACTTCTTATCCCACTTTTTATTTCCTTTCAAGACAAGGAGGAAAAGAAAATACAAGCAGGGGAACAGCGGAGACAAAAGCAGGCTTCTGTCAGCAGGGGCACCGGGGTGGAGAGGTGGATAAGGCCTGGCTTTGGGAGGGTGAAGTGGGCTCCGGCAATTAAATCCCGGCAGGCCAAGCGTCAAGAGCCTTTATCTTCAGAGCTGTAGGCCAACACTGAGGGGCAATGAAGGGTACAAGAGGGAGGTAGAAAACTGCGGTGTGTGTGTGTGTGTGTGTGTGTGTGTGTGTGTGTGTGTGTGTGTGTGTGTGTGTGTGTGTGTGTGTGTGTGTGTGTGTGTGTGTGTGTGTGTGTGTGTGTGTGTGTGTGTGTGTGTGTGTGTGTGTGTGTGTGTGTGTGTGTGTGTGTGTGTGTGTGTGTGTGTGTGTGTGTGTGTGTGTGTGTGTGTGTGTGTGTGGAGGAGTCGCAGGTCAGTGTGCACTTGCATAATTCAGCAGACCGGTCTAGAGACTTACAGAGGGCAACAGGCCAAGTCACAGTAAGGGGATAAGGCTGCATACTACAGAGTGCATACTCCCATTAAAGAGGGCCTCTTTTCCTTCAGGGGGATTTATCTATTAAAGGAACAATGGTCGTGGTATGTACATTAGAGTATGATCTACAGTCTTGCAGGTCTAGGGGTTCAGTTCACTGTTGAGCACGGCTGAAATTTACAACTAAAGCAGCTCCTGGGTTAGATGTACTCATGCAGCAGCCTCCAGTGTTAAAAAAAATGAAGCTAATGCAGCAGTGCAAAAAAATGACAGCTCCTTGTGTGTCCACGGGAGGCTGGCCACAAAATCCAAGGAATCCCCACTAGGTGTAAAAACCTCTTTATTTTTGCCCCTTTTTCATCTCTGACCCAAGAGACGACGAAAGACAACTCCTCCAAACGCACACACCTCATTCCCATCCCT